CCCCCCCCCCCCCCCACCATGGCCTCTGGTTTTTCAGCGATTCACTGCCCTGGGGGGGGAGAGGTTTAGACCCTAAAGCCAAAGGGTACACTGAACAGATCTATATACATCATCCCACTAGATACACTGTGCAGTAATACTCTAGGTTATTGCATAGAAGGCGGCTTGCGTTAGCGAGGCCTAAATGACGGTCTGGGAGCGCTGCCGGAGGCTCAGGGGCTTCAGAGAGCTGTTGGAAGCAGATGAAGGCTCTTGCAACGCTGTCTGGGATTCCTCTTTTCTGGAGTGCTCCTCATACCATTCCTGCAACGGGACATCAAACACACCGAGGTCAGGCTCTGCCCCACACAGGCCTCGCAGCCCTCCCTCGCCCCCAGCAGGACCCTGAAGGGCAGAGGGGCTCTTTGTAAAGCTCTAGATCCAACCCAACCTTCTTGGAACACCCCGGTGATCCGCAGCACGGCTGCCATGAATGCTCTGAGACCCACAGTCCGAGCAAGATCACACAGAATCACAGAATCTTAGTGGTTGGAAGGGACCTCTGAGATCATCGAGTCCAACCACAAAAAAAAAACCAACCAACCAACCAAAAAAAAACCAAAAAACAAAAAACAAACAAAACACACCACACCAAACGCCCACCAAAAACACCGCACCCACCAACTAAACCCCACACTCAACACCTCACCATAAACCAATAATCTTGGGCACTAGAGCATGCCCTGAAGAGCCATGTCTATACGTTTCTTAAATACCTCCAGGGATGGTGACTCCACCACCTCCCTGGGCAGGCTGTTCCAGTGCCTGAGCACTCTCTCAGTAAAGTAATTCTTTCTAATATCTAATCTAAATCTCCCCTGCTGCAACTTCAGACCATTTCCTCTGGTCTTGTCGTTCGTCCTTTGGGAGAAGAGGCCTCTCTACACCCTCCTTTCAGGTAGTTGTAGAGGGCAATGAGGTCTCCCCTCAGCCTCCTCTTCTCCAAACTAAACATGCCCAGTTCCCTCAGCCTCTCCTCATAGGACTTGTTCTCCAGGCCCCTCACCAGCTTGGTGGCTCTCCAAGAAGTACCAGCTGCGGCTCAGGTCTGGTTGCCTGAACCCACAAACCCAGGCAAGGAAACATCCCTCTCTCAGGATGTCCCTCCTGAACTTCCAGGACTCTAGGACCGACGTCCCCGTGATGTTGGGGATTTGCAGAGTTGCTCCCCATCCTGGGCAGCGCCCGGGGTGTTACGACACGTTACATCCCTGAATCAGAGGCTGAGCACAACAGGCGGGGAGCTTCTCTGCAGGTTTCCACCCAGCTCCCTGGCAAATAACATGTTTATTTTTGTTGCTTTTGAAGACTCATCCTCCAAGCCAGCTGCCCGCGGGACAAAGGACAGATTCAAATGGTTACAAGATTAATTTTTTCAGTACTAATCATTACATTAGCCCCACGACCTTCAACATGGAGATGAATGTCTGGCAGGCACTACAGCCACCAAATCCACGGCATAAAGCTCCGGACCACGAAGGGCATGAGCAGGAATGCCCTAAAAAAATCTTGAGAATCAGCCCATTTCAGTGCTTCCCATCTTTGTTAGCCTGTTCTTCTGCAGGAAAGCCAGGCAGCTCTGCTCACACCAAGCAGCCCTGGGAGAACATGGGTTTCTGCATCAGCCCGACACGCCCAAGCTCAAACACAATCACATTCCAGGGGTTTAATGAGCCTCAGGAACGCATGTGCTCACAGCCTGGGCAAACAAGGCCACCTCGGGGAGGTCAGGTAAGCCCAGCCAAACCAGAGTCCCCACACACACCCCCAGTGTGGCTACTGGGACCAGACTGGCACACACCTGCAGCCTGGACCCACCGAGGAGGCCCCGATGCGCTCTGGGGTTTAAGAAAGTCCCCAAGGGCAAGAACGGATCAACCTAAAGTACATTTCATCTACTGCTCTCCCTTCTCACGGAGGATGTGGCTGCCTGGGTCTCAGAGGAAAAAGGCTTCAAGTGTTTAAAAGGGTGGTTTGTTACTCCAGGCAATGTTCTGCTCACCAGGCTTGCTGCTACCTCCAGCTCAGGCCCACATACCTGTATCTCCTCCTCGTACATCTTCATACTCAAGTCACTCTTGGTCCTTGATCTGCGTCCCAGAAACACTGTTGACATTTGCTAAAGAATACGGGGAAGGAGGAGGAAAAAGCAAAAAAGACATTCATCAGTCTTGAGCAGCTACAGGATCAGTCCCTGGAACTTCAGGTGTCCTTCAAGTAGATAGCCATCATCCACTGATGACCTGTGACTATCCTGGGCTCCTCCTGTTGCCAGTGGAGAAAGACATTTTAGGACGCCCATCAGCTGAACAAATGCAGGTATAAAATCATAGAATGGTTTGGGTTGGAAGGGACCTTAAAGCCCATCCAGTCCCACTCCCTGCCCCAGGCAGGAACACCTCCCACCACACCAGGTTGCTCCAAGTCCCCTCCAACCTGCCCTTGAACCCCTCCAGGGATGGGGCAGCCACAGCTTCTTGGGGTAACAAGGGTCAGTGTTTCACCACCCTCACATGAAAGAATTTCTTCCTGAGATCTATATCTCCCCTCCTTCAGTTTAAAACCGTTACCCCTCATCCTATTGCTACACTCCCTGACCAAGAGTCCCTCCCCAGCTTTCCTGGAACCCCTTTAGATACTGGAAGGGGCTCTAAGGTCTCCCCAGAACCTTCTCTTCTCCAGGCTGAACCCCCCCAACTCTCTCAGCCTGTCCTCACAGCAGTGGGGCTCCAGCCCTCAGCGCATCTCCGTGGCCTCTTCTGGACCTGCTCCAACAGGTCCATGTCCCAAGCTCTGAGGACTCCAGAGCTTCATGTGGCACTCTAGGTGGGGTCCCCCAAAAGCAGAGCAGAGGGGCAGAACCACCTCCCTCAACCCGCTGGCCATGCTGCTTTTGATGCAGCCCAGGATGCATCTACTACAAGTTGAGACAAATCACAGTGAGCAGATCCCTACAGAGGGAGCTGTAGCCCGGGCAGATGCCCCCGTCAGTGGTGCTTGATTTAGTCAGATGAACACAACATCAGTGCCTGGAACAAGGCTCAAACCCCAGCTTTCAAATAAGGTCTCATCTAAGAACAATTCCAGGTCCCACTTGTCTAGACCACACCGTTTACTCCACGGGCCTGGACTTCTTAAATCATGTAAGCAGAGAGCTGAAGTCTGAATTACTCTCTGACCACATGAGTTATATGAACAGGATTGAGCAGCAAAAGAAGCTTCTGATCTGGCATCATCATTCTGGATTCCACTGCAAGGCTGGGGACAACATCCTCCCCTTTGGTTTATTGTCTTGAAAACTGCTTCTGATCAGCATCATCATGGCTACTCTGAATTTTGTCTGCATGAACTAGAGCTCAGCCTGTAACTACCAAGCCAATAAAGGAAATAAAGATCATTTAAGAGACTGTAGCACCTGCAATTTGTACTGGTGATACAAGAATATGATGGCTATTATTAAAACAACCACTTAAGCTCTTCCCGGATGCATGAGACATCAGTTCTGAGAACAGAGATGTTACCCAGGTCAGCTCATTTTTCCAATTGTCCATCCTGCTCTGGATTGAAAATCCCCAGTGCCATGGAGAAAGGAAGCCTGGTGTTTGGAATCGATACCATCGTATTGCTGTGTAATGCTTCAGGACTGTCCAAGCCTAAGTGTATGATGGCACAGAGGGAGAGGCAGGAGAATCACAAGAGAGTGGCTTCCTTAGAGAAAAATAAATCTACTTTTTTTTTTTTTCCAGATCGTACTGAGCCAGGACAGCTCTGAGCAAAGTTTGCAGAGAAGAGCAACGAGCCTTTGTCAAGGCTATTGAGAGTGCAGGGGAAATTCTGCTGCTGATTTTCTAGAGTAACAAAACTTTGTACTGATGCTGCAGAGTCCCTCCAGTAGCTCAGCTCTCAACACTTCTGACACACACACACACCTTCTCTCCTAAGACAGCAAGAAGGTGTTTGTGGCCCTGGCATCCTTCCCTCCCTCCCCTGCAGCCGAGAACTTGCAGTAAGCATTTCCTCTTACCCCATATTTGTCCATCTGCAAAACGATCTTCTGCAGCTGAGTGATTTCAGTGGCAGCTGAAGTCCTCTTGTACAGCTCGATTATGCCAACCACTTCCTCCTTGGAGATCTCCTTCTCCAGCACAATGCCGTTGTCTTCTGGGGAGGCAAAAAAGAGAAAAAAAAAAAAAAAAAAAAGCCATCTCCAAGATGAACATTCCCTCATCAGCCACTGTGATAATCCTGGAAGGCAAAGCTTAACAGCACACAGGACTGAGCCAGATGGTTGGGCACAGCCTGTACCTGCTTTTGTGACTAAAACATGGACATCCTTGTCTCCCAACAAGGCCGGGAAGACATTAACTGGTGCGTAGGGTCAGCCAACATCTCAGCTTTTTGAAACATCAGGCTCCTCAGTATCGCAGAAAAAAACCACCTTGTAGCTTTTTGCTTGCCTGTAAATTAACCAGCAAAGCAAATAATCACATGGGAATTGCTGCCTTTTGACCTTCAAGTGCCTCACACAGCTCAGTGCTAACAAATGCCTTTCACTGCACCCTTCAAACCAGGAGGGATCACAATGAAAAGTGTTTCTGTAACAACGCCTGGCTCCTACGGGCCTGCGCCACACAGGTTTGATTTTCTGGCACCTAAAGAAGATGAGGGGCTGATCAAAGATGCTCCTGTGACTGGGGAGTTTCTACACCACCTTTCTGCAGGGCAGATTCTCTGGTATGAAATGTAGGAGTGCAGTACCTTCTTCCCGCAGAAAAGTGTAAGGAATTATTAAGATGAGTCTGCACAGAGAAGGAATAGAAAAATCAGGGTGTAGATCACCTGGAGGATTAGCTGGAGAAGGTCTATAAGAGATTAACGTGTTTATGGCACCTAAATTAGCAGGTAATTACACCCAGCTCAGGAGACAAAGGACAGTGAGTGAAATTGATGACTCACAGGGGTGAGGGGATGCAGAGACCAGTCACTGTCAGTTCTTAAAGGGCACAGAAAGGTATGTCCAAAACCAGCACGCAGTCGCCAGTCTAAATACAACTGGGAGATGTGGAAAGAACTGGATAGGCAGCATCCCTTGTCCTCCAGGTCAAGGCAAAGACTGCTGGAAAACCACTTGGAGGTCTATAAGAGATTAACGTGTTTATGGCACCTAAATTAGCAGGTAATTACACCCAGCTCAGGAGACAAAGGACAGTGAGTGAAATTGATGACTCACAGGGGTGAGGGGATGCAGAGACCAGTCACTGTCAGTTCTTAAAGGGCACAGAAAGGTATGTCCAAAACCAGCACGCAGTCGCCAGTCTAAATACAACTGGGAGATGTGGAAAGAACTGGATAGGCAGCATCCCTTGTCCTCCAGGTCATGGCAAGGACTGCTGGAAAACCACTTGAATCCAGCACTTTGGTGCCTGAATGCTGGACAAGCCATTGTGGTGAGTATCTTAGTGAGGAGGGGAAATTGGTTTTAAAAGAAGGTCTTTTGTTGAGCTTTGCTATATCAATGCTCTAATGTTTCCTAGGTTTTTTTCATTAAATGCATGTGGACTTCCTACAAGTAGTTGAAGTTTATTTGTGTGTGCACATATGAATTCAAATATAAAAACCACATACATACACACATAAACACTTTTTGAGGAGTGCTGGGGGAGAGATGAGGGGCAGAGCAGAAAGCCCAGATAGAAATATCACACAAATGCTTAAGAATGAGCTTAGGAAGTCAGGCTAAAACTAACTAACTAACTAACTAAATCAATCTGCTCTTTGCTGGCCCACTCCATTCGCTCCTGCAGACAAAAGACACCAGGGAGAGAAGACACAACCTTATAGGTCAACCAGTCCTCAGTTCTCACCTTCTGAATCCTGGTTCTTCCGAGTGTAGTTCATGCGGAAGACGAAAGCATCCAGAATAAAAGCCACGATGATGGTCATCACCACCTGGGAGAGGACATGAACAGAAGAGATCAGGAGGCTGCTGCTGGGGGATTCTTCAGGCCCAGTCCAACATGGAGCTGAACATTCGGTCTCTGCTTCTACTCTCTGCTTCACAGGTCCTCCATGGCAGAGGAGATACACATCTAACTGAGCAAACTGCTAACAGTTAACCACAACGGGGACAGAACAAACTCTTGTGCTGCCCTGGTCCTTGCCCCCGGCCCAGATTTGTGCAGCACCAGCTTTGTCAATGCCCATAAACTGAACTTTCTGCAAGTGACAGGGACTCACACCTGGTTTTGAAAAATGTTTATGTAGAAGAGCAAAGTTGTCCTTATTTAGGGATGGAAGCTCCCTCTGGAACACAATAAAAACCGTCTCCCCTTCTCATCCCCACTCTTTGATGCACGAAGCACGTCCAGAAACCTACCATGGTCACAATATAGAAGATCATGAAGTAGAGACGGCTCCAGTGAGTGGTTTGGGATGTCACCCCTTCCTAAAGAAGAGAAGGAAGAAGTCAGTAGTGCACAAAAGAAGGGAGAGTCTGCTTTTAACTATTTGCCAACAGACATAAAGCAGCACAAACACTATCTCTCTCTCATTCATGGCTCCACAGTTAGTCTCAGGGACCGCTCAATGCCCCAACTGGTCCTTGCACTAATCAAGGCCTCTCAAGCTAAAAAGGGAAGTTCCTATGGGCAAACCCACAGAACATTTAGAGCTTGTGGCTGTAAGAGCCATAGCTGCTATGAGAACACAGCTCAGACAGCAGGGTGACAAGCTGGAATACACAGTGACTTCAGTTGTCCAGATTGTGAAACTTGGCCTGAAGGCTGGTGAAGATTCATGAGAAAACATGCCCAGGAGCACGTCAGAGCCCAAATGCCACCCAAAAGATATCTGGCACCAAGAAATGACAATGTTGGGCCCATCTCCAATCCCCGGGGGAAGAAAGCAGTGGTGGTGTGGAGGATGTAGCTCAACTGGCAAAGAGTCCGTGCTGTTTATACACAGAAGGTAGCTGGGGTTTACTTACCATGATGATGTACCAGTCATTGACAACTGTCAGCTCAAACAGCGTGACTGGAAGAAAAAATACAGATAATTGCTTTATCCATCCTGACCTAATTTACAGTAATTATTAGACAAAGTATTTGACAGGGGAGACTGATGCAAGACACCAAAGTTTCAATACAGCCAGCAAATCCAGAGACAGAATACAAAGACACCAAAGTTTCAATACAGCCAGCAAACCCAGACAGAATAAGGACCTTCATCACTGCAATTACTTCAGACAAAGGGGGGCAGACCCACAGAACCAGGAGCATGGCTTAATCTATATTTCTTAAAAGAATCAGAAACAGACCTGGCTCTTTCTGCCAGAGAGCATGGCAACCTCTGAGATCTCCAGGAGATAAGCATCTCTGCCCACATGTTAAGAAAACTCATGGAGAGCAATCCAATCAACACGTGCAAATTATTCATCATCGGTGAAGAAAACTCATGGAGAGCAATCCAATCAACAACGTTCAAATTATTCATCAGCGGTGGGTTTAGCGAAATGTATTAGCATCACTATTTGTTTTTTAGAAGGGTAGTGACTTAAAGCCCTCCTTAAACATCTCTGGAAGTCAGGTCTGCTCGTATTAGCATCACTATTTGTTTTTTAGAAGGATAGTGACTTAAAGCCCTTCTTAAACATCTCTGAAAGTCAGGTCTGCTCACAAGTCAGAACGGATCTGCTGGCTTCACACTGGCTTTTAAGAGAGGTTCTGCTTTCCTTGCAGAACAATCAAGGCACAATCAGTGCAGAAAGAGCAGGATGCTGAGCACTTGAGGTGCATTAGCAGGACTCTACAGGAGAGTCCCAGCCTTCCATGAGAGTTACAGTCCTGCTGTGCAGGGACACGGATGCCCCAGGGAACAGTCTTTGCTACAGACAAAACTGCCCTTACCAAAGCTGTTCAAAATGTTGTCGAAGTTGTTGAGATAGTAATAACCTTCTTCCACAACTGTCTTGTTGCCAACTGTGTGATTCACCCAGCGGTAGGAATCTGCGACTGTGCTTGTGCTGGTGGGAGAAACCAGGACAAAGAATGAGAACTGGAAAAACAAGAAAAATCTCAAGGGTTATGAATAGCAAAACACTTCGAAGGTGGTGAGCAGGGTGGTAGTTTCTACCTCTTGGCCAACATTTGCCTTTTTCTCTGCGAGAAAGCCTCTCTTTCACAGCTCAGCACAAGCCCCGGGAGCACGTGGAGTCTTTCTAATCATTCAGCAAATATTATAGCAGAGAAACTGAGTGTTTGAGTTAGACTCCTTGGCTCACACCCTTGGCATTTCCGAGTGGTCTGCCATCATTTAAGATGAAAAGGGCACAGGACAGCTTAGCTTCCAAAACCAGGTGAATGCATCTTGGTACAAAGTGAGGCCTAAATATGTAACAGGTCTGGCCAAGCAACTCTGGCATCACCACAATAATAATGAAAAAGAAAACAACACACAAAACCCAAACTCAGCTTCACTCTAGAGCAGATTTTACAAGAGTTTCCAGCCATGGTACCATGAAGAAGTCCTCCCAGTGCAGTTACCTGAGGCAAGTTACAGAGCCCATTAAAACCAGCCAACCCTATCCCAGAAGCCTCTCCCTTTCCAAACCATTTCATCCAATATCTTATCCAGAGGAGTGAAGTGTCTCCTAGATTTTTGCAGCACGTTGCCTTAGCTGCAAAACCCCACTCAGACCCATCCTCTGGCCCATTCTCCACAGGGAGCCAGGGCTGCCAGAGCTCCCCACTACTAGCTGCCCACCAAAACCATTGCAGGGGGGGATGGATTTGTGGTACTCACTTGCAGCAGTTCGGGTAGACCACGCCAGCAAAGAACTCCATGCCAACAATGGCAAAGCAATAGTAGAAGATCAGCAGGGTTAAACCCAGGCTGGAGGCAAAAAACAGAGAGAGTACTGTGCTGCTGAAGAGTTGCTAAGGCAGGGAAAGACAAAGTCAGAGGCTGGTTGCTCTGGGAGGGATTTCCAACGGATGGGAAGCAGCGCTGAAAACCCCAGACCACCCTTCCTGCCTGCAGTTCTTTGCCTGCTCTCATTCAAGAAGCCTTTGGACAAGGAGCTTGCCACTCGCTGAAGAGAGAAACTAAAGAGCGGCCTGGATTCCCTCCCAGACCATCTTTTTTTCTGGGAAACAAATGCCTCTCCACAGTTTCTTTAATAAAGAGCACCACACACTGTTTCTGCCCTCTCTGTGCCCTTGGATGCAGGGACTGTGCCAAAACCAGGGTTCTCCAGCAAACACGCTCTGCACACACTGTTTCTGCCCTCTCTGTGCCCTTGGATGCAGGGACTGTGCCAAAAACAGGGTTCTCCAGCAAACATGCTCTGCTCAGACCTCCTTCAAGGGAGGAGGGTCTGCAGATGCCAGCACCCAGCTCCTTCTGCCCCACCATTTCACAATAACACTCTCAAGTGGCTGTGCTAAGGACAGGGAAACGTCTGGGGCTAAGTCTATTCCTGCCAATGTTCCTCCCAAATGGGCCTCCCCTCTCAACCAAAAGCTGGGATGAGGGAGAAAAATTAAACCAACCATTGACTCCTAGTTACCCTCCTAACACAAAAGCAGGGGGAGGCCAAGGGTGCTGGAATGTTGCTTATCACATACTGCTCTGAGAAATTAGAAGATTAACACCCCACTGAAGCACACGGAAGAATCAGTAACAATCTACTGACAGATTAGAGCACAAACACCTTTAGCAGGTTTGACAGGTCCCTGTCCTGACCCCAGCCCCGACACTAAACCTCACTCCCCTCTCCCCACCAGCACCCAAAGAAAAGAGGTCAGTACCTGGCCATCCGGGGAAACAGCTCAAACATCGTGTCCAGGACATTTCTGTAGCGTTTCTTCAATTTAAATAGCCTGAAAGGAGAAGCCAGCTGTTACCTACGTGCTGCAACTTCCCTGGTGTCACTGGAAATAGTTAAATAAGAGCGTGACAGTCCTCTGCACCTCCCAGGTCAATGAATACTATGGTTTCCTGTCCCCAAACTCACAGGATCTGCTCTTGCTCAAGCAGTCTCCATTCACCCAACAACGTCCCGCTGCCCCATCTGAATATTTATGACACATTCGACTAAGTGTTTACAGGACTGAAGAATCTCAAGAAGAAGTCCGTGTCTTCTTACACAGCTTGATGCATAAATAGCTATTTAAAAAAACCCCAAAAGTCATAAGGACTTAAACTAGTCCTGTGTGCAGGGTCAGGATTCATTACTCCTTTCCTCAGACAAGCTCCTCTGTGTTTCCCCCATGACCCAATAAAAATTGATGAGAGAAAACTACATTGTGCCTGCTAATTTAAGATTTGGCAACTCCATCAGCCTTCACAGAGAAACACAGCTGCCAAACCCAGGCTTTGGCAGGGGAGCAAGAGAGAAAACATTATTTTTTTTTCCCCCCTTGAGTGTTATAAAGTGTTCTTTAAATCCTCACTGAAGAGCTAAATTACATTAGCTTGTTTTTTAACAAAACATTTTGCCTCAAATGCCTTCCCCCTATGGCTCTCCAAGCGTTCTGGGAGGTGAACGTGCCTCCGTAACAGAACCCTCGAAACGAGAGGGTTAATCAGACCCATCACTCTGAGCTGCAGAGAGGTTACAGGCTGCAGTCTTGCTCAAAGTGTGAGATGCCGGGTTGTACTTCACCCTAGAAAGCAGCAGCCTTTGAAAACTGTAATTTCTGGTAATTCAATGGAAATTATTAAACTGGCTCAGGCCGTCTCACCCTGACAGAAGAGCTTTTCTCTGAACAGCATCAGACAATTCAGAGGAGGTGTAAGAACCCCACGAAGGCAGACACAGGATAATCTGCCCCCGGTAAATCCCTTGATCTCTATTAGAGATCAGCTTAAGCTCCAAAGCACGGGGTTTCATATCCCATCCCAAGTTTTTGTTATCGTTCATTTTGATAACTCTGGCTAATCTCATTACCCCACGCGATTCCTGCTCTCCATGGTCACGTACCCACCGAGCAATCCTTGCCCTCTCCTGGTAAGGAGCTTGGTCCCCAACTGGATTGATGGAAAACAAGCCTGGCTGGTTTCTTCCCCACCTCCTCTCCGTAACCTCCTTCCCACCAGCCTTCCCCCCTCACCTCAGCAGCTGAAGGGGTCGCAAGACCACGATGAAGTAGAAGGGCTCCATGTTAAAGGCCAGCGCCATCAGCCCCAAAAATGCAAACAGGGTGACCGAGAAGTCAAAGCTGGAAAGTAAAAAAAATAATAAAAGGAAATAAAAGCCATGATTTATCACTAGTGTTTCAGCAGAGAAGAGGTACTTGGTGCTGCCCCAGCCTAACACGATGGACAAGTCCAAGGTGAGAAGAATTATAATAGCCTCCTGATGGCCTTGTCTACTGGCCTAAAAACTCATGTCAAAGGCTGGTCTTTCTAACCCAACAATTTCCACCACATCTCCCTCAAAAATGCCAGTGTTCACTTACAGATTCCAGCCTGAGGACAGGTACTCAACAGGCCCCAGTCCAGTGGTCTTCAGGAGCAGCTCCACACCATAGACTGTAAAGCAAGACGACAGCCACCATCAGAAATCAGCAGCAGCACAAGGAGTGCTTAAGCAAAGGCTTGCCCTCGAAGATGGGTGGTGCTTTAAGTACAGGACTTCTGAACATAGGTTTAAGAGTCCCTCACCCACCCTCCTTATTCTCAGTGAGATGCCAAAGAGACATTTTCCCTCCAAATCAATACATTTTCCTGTATTCATGGCGATTCTCTCCATAGCAGTCTGCAAAACTAAGTTGGCTATCATGTTCTAAACGCTGAGGCATCAGCTCCCGTAGGAAAGGCCAGAAAGTGGTGTAGGGAATTCAGTCCTGCCCATTTACTTCTTTCTATCCCAGTGGAACATATCCACATCCATAGCCTAGCCTGGACCTGCAGGGAGAGATACTTTCTACCTTCTCCCTCTGTCCTGGCAGCACCTTGTGGGCCTGTAGGTTAAACTCCACCATAATAGCGTGATGATGCCCTGTTTGTCATCCCAAAATCTTTCTTTCCGAGGAGCAGGGGTGGGAGAGGAGAGCTGGGTGACAACACCCTTGTGAAAAGAAGTGTTGCAGAGTCCCTCTGCCTCCAAACTTTCACAACAAATGTTTTGAAGACTAATGGCCAGAGAAGCGCTGGAGCTACCCAGCAGTCAAGCAAGAGGTTTAGCAACCTCTCCTTAGATTCTCCAAAGAGCTTCCTGCTGCAGTTTTACACGCTGTTTTGATTCAGTGGAGCTATACTGTGCTTCTCCTCTTGAGCAAGAGACACTGGCAGGAGAAGGGAAGGGAATTCACATCACTGAAGAGCTCCGTGGCAGCGCAACGAACCAGCACGTGAAGATGCAATTGCCTATACTTGGGCTGAAAAGGAATTTCACTGAATTTCACTGAATTTTAAAGTTGGAAGGGACCACAGAGATCATCTAGTCCAACTCCCCTGCTGAAGCAGGATTGCCTAGAGCTAGAGCATGTTACTCAGGACTGCATCCAGGCGGGTCTTGAAAATCTCCAAGGAAGGGGACTCCACACCCTCCCTGGGCAGCCTGTTCCAGGGCTCTGTCACCCTCACCGTGAAGAAGGATCTCCTCATATTTGAGTGGAACCTCTTATGTTCCAACTTGTGCCCGTTGCCCCTCGTCCTCTCACTGGGAACCACTGAAAAGAGTTTGGCTCCCTCCTCCTAAGGAGGTTTAGGGAGGAGATGATGTTCAATTAGAAAACTCAGCTCGTCAACTAGTTCACCTCGTCCTTTTGGTCTTCTCCTCAGCACGGCCCTGCACTCTGTACTCCAAGAGGATTGCTTGGCCTCGTGTGGCCGAGAGCCGGCTCACAGCAGCAACCACATCAGAGCTGGTAACACCTCCCGGAACAGTCAGCATGGAACAACCTGAGCAGCTCCACCAGGAGCCATCCGAGGTCCAGAGGAGCTCATCACTTTGCCCACTGTGCCTAACAAACAAGGCTATTCTGCTCTCAGGGCCGAAGCCAGCTCTTAAGAGCCACAGAGCAGCTTTTGCAGGGAGCTGTGTGACAGCACAGCAGCGTCCACAGGGGTCTGTGGGGATGCTGACAACCCCTGCTAGGCACAGCATTCTTCTAGATGGAGTCTGGGCACCTGTGGCTAAGTTTTAACTTCAAAGCGAATAATCTTCCAGGAACAGAGCTTTCTATCCCCCTCCCAACTCCCTATGAAGTGACACAGCTCTGTTGGGAGGCATCAGCTTACTTGTGAGGAAGACTATGTAGCTCCACGGGACGTTTCTGGAGAAGAAATTCCCTCCTGCAAGACACAAGAGCAACATTTTCTAGCCTTCCCTGTTCACTACCCCCCAGCACCACAGCCAAGAAACAAGCTGCAATGTTTCCTACCTTGCAGCATGAAGGTTTCAACAAGAATCCAAATTCCATTCACAGCCACCACAGTGTCTGGAAAACAAAGTAAAAACCCATCGCAAACAGACTCCTGGACCAGCAGACATCCATTTCTAGGCTAACAAAAAGAATGAAATATAGTACAAGCTACAGGGTGAGTGTTTCCAATTCAACTAAAAAAATTGAACTCATAACTTGGCAGAGTCGCAAAACTTCTACCCTGACTTTTCCCAGGCCTTTAACAGAAAAAGTACCTTTATCTGCAGAAAGAAACACAACTAAACCAAAACAATGGTCTGAATCACGCTCAATCATTTTTACTCATAATTATTTTACACTCTGCCACGTTATTGCCAACGTGTTTCGGCTTGACCTACTTCTGGAAGAAGATCTTGAGAATGACTAGGTCCCCAACAGCACAGGACAAAAGAAGAGTCCCCAGCAGTGCAGGCTGAGCTCCTGCCACCTTGGATCTATTGCTGCTCCCCAGCATTCAAATCCTGACAACTGAAGGTGTAGGACTTCTCCTTTTCACCCAGGTCTCCTCACTCCAGCCCACCCCACTCTCTTTAGTTTAGCATCCTAATTTACAAAAAACACTTCTCCAACATTCAAAAACACCACCCCAAATTACTTAGTAGGAACAGATCGTTTAGAACACCACAAGTACCACCACAACTAAGCACTCCCTCTTCTCTAGAGAAGAGGAGCCCAGAACCATTCTTGCAGGCAGTACAGTGGCCAAGTGATCCTTTCAGCAACAAGGATGCTTGCACCTTCTCAAGCACAGAGAGAAGAAGGTGGGTGACTGGCAGGGCGGTTGCTTACCCAACATCCTTCAGCCACAAGATAAAAGCCTCAAGGCTTGTGAAAGCTAACCACCAACCCACCCAAATCCCACAAGCTGATTCCTACAGAATCGGGCCCACAAGTTCATCATGAACTCATGAGGCCTCTCCAGAAGACTTGACGGAGCGAGAGCCGAGAGCCCAGGCTGCAGCAGTGGTCGCTACAGGCATGCAATTCCCTCTGTCTCTGCCAAAATCCCAGAATATGTACACGAGTCGTGGCTTGGACCAAAGACCAGACCCCACCACGCTGAGCCCTTGGAGGGGCTGGCACAGACCCAGCATCCCAGCCCCACGCGATGAAGGGAGTCTGGCACAGACAGCTCATGGCTTCTACTCACACATGGTGTATTGGAACACGCGGGACTTCACAAGGATGTTGATGCCTGCGTGGAGGAAAGTACAACAAAACAAACGTTAACGTGATCCTCCACACCTCACATGCAGCTCCCTCCATCTTCTCCTTAGAGACCATTTTTCATACCAATCCTGAGCGCAGAGACTAAGCAGATTAGCAGATTATTAACTTTTACTTCCTGGGACCAAGCTCAAATTTCCTCTAGAATTTTAGCAGCAATGAACTCACTGTCCTTAACCCCTGAAATGCTTTTTTATTTTCCCCTCTCTGAACTAGTTTTGTGGTGTAGACAGAGGTAAACGCAGCTGCTGAAGCACTGCTCGTGTTTGGAACAACATCTATTCTGTCAAGAAGGGTTGAGCACATCAGCAGAGATACGTGGGCCTCTAGAATTTTAGCAGCAATGAACTCACTGTCCTTAACCCCTGAAATGCTTTTTTATTTTCCCCTCTCTGAACTAGTTTTGTGGTGTAGACAGAGGTAAACGCAGCTGCTGAAGCACTGCTCGTGTTTGGAACAACATCTATTCTGTCAAGAAGGGTTGAGCACATCAGCAGAGATACGTGGGCATCAGCAGAGGAATCATAGAATCATAGAATCGCCCAGGCCGGAAGGGACCTCCAAAGGCCATCTAGTCCGACCTCCCCGCAGTCAGCAGGGACACCCCCAACTAGACCAGGTTGCCCAGGGCCTCGTCGAGCCTCTCCTTGAATATCTCCAGGGATGGGGCCTCAACCACCTCCCTGGGCAACCTGTTCCAGTGCTCCACCACCCTCACAGT